CCGATTCGAAGACTGCACCAGCCCCGAGACCAAGATCAAATACATGACCGACGGCATGCTGCAGCGAGAGTGTCTGGTGGATCCGGACGTGTCCAACTACTCGGTGATCATGCTGGACGAGGCGCACGAGCGCACCATCGCCACCGACGTGCTGTTCGGCCTGCTCAAGAAGGCGCTCAAGCGGCGGCCGGATCTCAAGCTCATCGTCACGTCGGCCACGCTGGATGCGGAAAAGTTCTCGACCTACTTTTTCGGCTGCCCCATCTTCACCATCCCCGGCCGCACGTATCCGGTGGAGATTCTGTACACCAAGGAGCCCGAGCCGGACTACCTGGATGCGGCGCTCATCACAGTGATGCAGATCCACCTGTCGGAGCCGACGGGCGATATCCTCGTCTTCCTCACGGGCCAGGAGGAGATCGACACCAGCTGCGAGATTCTGTTCGAGCGCATGAAGGCGCTGGGTCCGAGCGTGCCGGAGCTTATCATCTTGCCTGTCTACTCGGCGCTGCCGAGCGAGATGCAGACCAAGATCTTTGAGCCGACGCCGGCAGGCTCGCGCAAGGTGATCCTCGCCACCAACATTGCCGAGACGAGCATCACGATCGACGGCATCTACTACGTGGTGGATCCGGGATTCGTCAAGCAGAATGCGTACGATCCGCGCTTGGGAATGGACTCGCTGGTGGTGACGCCGATCTCGCAGGCGCAGGCGCGCCAGCGTGCGGGCCGCGCCGGACGCACGGGTCCGGGCAAGTGCTACAGGCTGTACACCGAGGCGGCGTATCGGAACGAGATGCTGCCCAACTCGATCCCAGACATCCAGCGCCAGAATCTGGCGTCGACGATCCTGGCGCTCAAGGCGATGGGCGTCAACGACCTGGTCAACTTTGACTTTATGGATCCGCCGCCGGCGCAGACGCTGCTGACGGCGCTCGAGTCGCTGTATGCGCTGAGTGCGCTCGACGACGAGGGGCTGCTGACGCGGCTGGGACGCAAGATGGCCGACTTTCCCATGGAGCCGATGATGTCCAAGATGCTGATTGCGTCGGTGGATCTGGGGTGTAGCGAGGAGATGCTGTCGATTGTGGCGATGCTGTCGGTGCAGAACGTGTTCTACCGGCCGAAGGATAAGCAGACGCAGGCGGACGCCAAGAAGGCCAAGTTCTTCCAGCCCGAGGGCGACCATCTGACGCTGCTCAGCGTGTACAATGGCTGGGCGGCGAGCAAGTTCAGCATGCCGTGGTGCATGGATAACTTTGTGCAGGGACGCTCGCTGCGTCGTGCGCAGGAGGTGCGCAAGCAGCTCGTGGGCATCATGGATCGGTACAGCCACGACATTGTGTCGTGTGGCAAGAACTACAACCGCGTACGCAAGGCCATCTGCTCGGGCTACTTTCGCAATGCGGCAAAGAAGGACCCGCAGGAAGGGTACAAGTCGCTGGCAGAGTCGGGCGGGACCGTGTACATCCATCCGAGCTCGGCGCTGTTCAACCGGGCGCCCGAGTACTGCGTGTACCACGAGGTGGTGCTGACGACGCGCGAGTACATGCGCGAGGTGACGGCGATCGAACCCAAGTGGCTCGTCGAAGTCGCGCCGCGCTTCTTCAGGCCGGCGGATGCGATGAACATCTCCAAGCGCAAGAGGCAGGAGAAGATCGCGCCGCTGTTCGACCGGTTTGCGAAACATCAGGACGAGTGGAGACTCAGCAAGGTCAAGCGCGTGGGTAAGAGCTCGCAGACGTTTGGATAGCAATTGTATCGTCGGAATGGGCCAATCTTGTTGTCAGGTGCTGCCGATCGTCGTCGTGTTGGTGGTTTGTGCTGGGTTGGTGGGGTGGGGGTTTGGGGAAGATTCGGCGAATTGGACGGAGGTGGGGTCGGTGAATTTTTTGGGCAGAGTTGGACCGAGGCTTTTTGCTGATTCGCTGTCCTTCGATAAGCGCGCGCCCACACCTTTTGGCCTCCCACTTGAGATGATTCGAGTCATGCATCTGTGCTTCTCAACCACCACACCGCTTGTGCCAAGATGGATTCGTACGACTACGTGATTGTCGGTGCAGGCGTCAACGGTACGTCGATTGCGACCTCGCTGGCCTCGCACGGCTTCCGGGTCGCTGTGCTGGATCGGTCGGCGGACGGCTTTGTCGCTCCGGACGGCGCATCGCACGACCTCAACAAGATCGTGCGTGCCGACTACACGGATGCGAACTTCTGCACTCTGGCGAAAGAGGCGATTGCCCGGTGGAGATCCAGCCCCGTGCTGCGGCAGTTCTACCACGAGGTCGGCGTGCTCTTCCGCTCGTCCGCCTCGGGCGACGTGTGGGGGAACGAGGGAAGTGCAGAGGAGTACGTCCACAAGGGTATCAAGCATGCAGCGCTCGAAAGCGATGCTCATCTCGAGGTGTTCCCCGCCCAAGAAAAGGCGCGAGCCTACAAGCTCAAGAACGACACGCAGGTCGACGAGATCCTGGGAAAGGCGCGCGAGCTCAAGGGCGACGGGTTCAAGGGGATGGGCCGCGTGCAGACGGGCTACTTTAATCCACGCGCTGGGTGGGCCGAGGCGAACAATGCGACGAGGGCGCTACTTGGGCATGCGATCAAACTTGGTGTTACCGTGTATCCGGACAGCAGCGTGGATTCGTTCGTCTACGAGGCGGGCGAGGTGGTGGGAGTCAAGACGGCGGATGGACGCGTGGTGCGGGGCGACAACGTGGTGCTTGCCGCGGGAGCATGGACGCAGGAGCTGCTCACCACGCTGCTCCCCGGTGTGGGAGAGGGATGGATGACGCGCCCCAGTGCGCAGTGCGTGGCGGTGGTGCGTTTGACCCGCGAAGAGGCGATGCAGCTTGGCGATACGCCCGTGGTGATCAACTTTGCCACGGGATTCTACCAGTTTGAACCCACGCCCACCGCGTCGCCCGACGAGTGGCACATGAAGATCGCCATCCACTCGAACGGATACCTGCACCCTGCACCGCAATCCTCGTGCTCGGGCACCTTCCCCGCCTTCAGCTGCACAGACAGCACCGAGCAGGATGCGTTTGGCATGGCCGCCTGCAGCATGCCCGCCAACCAGCTCGAGATCATGCTCGAGGAGCTGCGGCAGACGTGGCCGCACCTCGCGCAGCGCGAGCGCCTAGTGTGCACGCGCGTCTGCTGGTACTCGGACACGCTCGACGAAAACTGGATCTTCGACAGCCTCGCCAACCACCCGGCGCGTCCAAAGGGCACCGACAAGGTGTGGGTCGTCAGCGGAGATAGCGGACACGCATTCAAGTTCCTCCCCATCATCGGAGACGTCTTCCTCGCCGCCAAGCGCCTCCTCCCCAACACGAGGCAGCTGGATCTCACCAGGTTCACCTTCAACCACCATGCACGCACCCACGCCGACAAAAACGCAGGCCGCGCCGTCCAGTCCGCCGACAGCAACCGTGCCCACTCGACGCCCCTCGCCAACGCGCGTGCGCGTCTCTAGAACCATCCCCTTGCCTCGCTCGGTGTTTGGCAATGCAATGCGATTGAGTCCTTCACATGACGGTACATTCGGACTCGGCGTCCTTGCGTGTGGGCCGCGCGCCCTTGGCGGCGCTGCCCTTGAGCTTCTTGAGTTCGGTGAGGCGCTGCATGGCGCGCTTGTTGCCCTGCGCCGCCGCGCGCATGTACCACCGCTTGGCCTCGTCCAGATTCGCATTGACGCCGATGCCCACCTCGGAATAGTAGCCCACGGCGTACTCGGCCTTGGGGATGCCCTTGCTGGCGGCCCGGCGCGCCCACAGGTACGCCTCCGAGTCGCTCTGCTTCAGCACACCCTCGGATCCCGTCAGATACCAACCGGACAGCGCCAGTTCCGACTCGCCATCGCCGCGACCGGCAGCTTTGGTGTACCACGCGATACTGCGGCGCGGATCCACCGGGCATGTCAGGTGGCCGTACTCGTACGCCGAACCGAGCTTGAACTGCGACGGTGCGTAGCCGAGCTGGGCGGCGTGCGTGAAGAGCTCGCGCGCGTACGCCTCGTCGTGCAGCACCACCGAGTTGGTCGACTTTTCGTGCAGCAGCCCCAGCTCGTGCAGCGCGTGCGGGTTGTCTTCGTCCGCCTGCGCCGCGGCGCGCTTGAGCCACACGATCGCCTCGCGCACGTTGCGCGGCTGCCCCAGCATGCCGTTGAGCAACACCATGCCCAGCTTGTACATGCCCGCCGTATCGCCCAGCGCCGACGCCTTGCGGTAGAACAGCACCGCCCGGTGGTGGTCCCGGCGCGTTCCTGCGCCCACCTCGTTGCACACCGCAGTGCGGTACGTCGCAGCCGGATGGTTCTGCTTGCTCGCCTGGACGTACAGATTGTACGCCTTCTCGTGGTCCACCTGCAGGCCCAGGCTGCCGTTGCCAAAGCAGTTGGCGAGGAAGAACTGCGCCTCGGCGTACGGCGGCTTGCCCAGCCCCATGCCCGTCGTCGCAAGCCGCTTGATGAGCTTGAGGCTCTCCGAGAGCAGCGTGTCGCGGTACTTGCGCTGCTGCTTGGGCCCGTCCGCCGGATCGTGCACCTTCTTGGCCGCCTCGATGAGGTACTTGGCATATGCGAACTGCGCCTCGGGGTCAGGATCGCCCTTCATGCGCTGGCGGTACTCGGCAACGAAAGACTTGTTGAACGGAAGCGTCTGCTGCGGCCCACTGGATTCCTTGGACTTGCGGCGCGGATTCGAAGCCAGCCCGCCGAGCGACGCGCTCGTGCCGGACATCATCGACATCTGTGTCCCCTGCCGCGTAAGCATGCTCGGTCGCCCCGCACCACCACCACCCAGCGGCATCATACCCGCCGCCGCCGCCGCCGCCGCTGCCGCCGCTGCTGATGCCGAGTACGGATCCGCGCCAGGCGGGAAGCCGGGCGCAGCACCCTCGGGGAAGCCCAAGTATCCAGACGCCGCAGCAAAGTACGGATTGGAGTCGTACGCGCCCGACGCAGCGCCCGCGGGCGGGAAGGGTGCCGGCGGTGCGCCGCCAGCCGCAAAAGCGTAGCCCG